GTGGAGGCGCAAACATTCCTTATTACCAGTACAAGTAAAAAAGTGGTAATATAAGCCCTTAATTGCATAAAATATTATACTGCACATCATTTACAGCCAGCACACTTAAATAAACTAATGATCATCTTTTATATTCTGCAAGGGATATAACGTTCATAGGACATTCAAACATGATAAAAATTAAACATCAGTTCTGAATTATTCATGGGGAAGACACAAGCTGATAATTCCTCTTTTATAACCTACTGGATATTGTCACATGATTTTACAATTTTTTAATGTCTTCACAGTGAAATCCAAAGAAAAAAACTCCACTAAGTGCCATGTTGAAGGACAAAAAATGTTGAGTGCAGCACCTTTACACAACCGAACAGCACATCCTGTCCAACCAAACCATATAATTTTAATATTTCTTAGAGGTAGAGACATCTCATAATAATGTCTCCTACTAACGTATACATGGACACAAACAAACTAGAGATCTCATAGCTTCACTTTAAAACTTAGTTATGAATCAGTTATTACAATATAAGCTTACTAGTTCATAAATAAGTTGGAGTAAATTAAATTTGCTTGCTAAGATGACAAAGGCTTTATTACTTGTGGAAAAGACTTTTAAGATTTGTATTTGATCTTGATAAACCCTTAAGGAGGCTATGAATTAGATTTTGGTGGAGGGTGCCTTTGCAACTGTTTAAGTTTAAAAAGGCCACCTTTTCCTTTCTTCCTCCTTGGTTTCAGGTTCTTTCTGAGTCAGTTAGACTCAGTTTCAGGTTCTTGTGGGTTGTATTCACATTTCTGAGTTATCAAGACTTGTGAGCAAAAACTTAAATTTCCAAGGTGATTAGTCACCTAAATAATATTAAAAGATTGATTTGAAAAGATTTATAAATTTCAGAGTTCTGTGTTCTAGAAGTTTAGGGTTTAATTTGTCATGCCTTCAAAAACTTTTCTGGTGGCTCAGAGAATCCGCCTGCAAATACAGAGACATGGGTTCCATCCCTGGATGGGGAAGACCCCCTGGAGAAGGAAACGGCAACCCACTGCCTGGTAAATCCCATGGACAGAAGAGCCTAGTGGGCTATAGCCCATGGGGTTGCAAAGAGTTGGACTTAACTTAGCAACTAAAATAAAATCTTGCAAAAGGCATTCAAGAAAGGCTGTCTTTTTGAGTGCATAGGTTAGGCCCAGAGCAAAATCTCTTATTAGCTCCTGAATATAAATTCTCAGGTTCTTTCTTTATATGGCCTGGGCTCAGATAATCCTCAGATTTCCTTTAGCATGTTTAATATTTCCTGAGGGGTAGATATATATGCCCCTTCTTATAATATCAAGCAAGGGAAGCATTCCCCAGCAAAACATGTCTATTCCACAATATAATTCAGCAAGAGAGATGTAACTATTGAATATAAATCTTATTTGAATAAAACAATTTTTATTAACTTTCATCTCAATTCTATCAACTTTTATACCTTTAACTTTAGTTTTCATTAGGACCCATCAACAAGTTTTGGTCTTACAAGAAATTCTAGAACTCTTTATTTCCCCCAACCATTTTACCTACTTTGTATTTTTATACTGGGGCTCTGGAGTCCCCAGTCAAGCCAAGGGATTCAGGCCCTTTTGTCAATCTTTTAACTTAATTAATTAGCCTGTCACCCCAAATAATTGTTGGTCAGGCACCTCAGTGTATTTTTTTTTCAGCCATTTAAATATATGTTTTAACTGGGGTAAATAGAGTGGATTTGTTTGGTACCCTTTAAAGTTGAAGACCACTAATGGGTCCCTTTGGCCCATCCAACCTTAGGTAGTGTTTTATCAAACCTTTGATTTAATCCTGTTAACGTCTGTTTTATTTATCCCACTTTCAAGTAACCATCTAAAGATTTCTTTATCCATTTGGGACCAGTCACCTTAAAATCTCCACCTTGTTGAGGGGAAGTCTGTAGACTTTCCCTTCAGTTTTTTGTTTTCCTGTTAGTCAAGCTAATTAATTATTCCAATGTTTTTATTATCATCTATAAGACCCACTGAGGGGAAGAAGAGGCCACAAGAAGGTGTCCCAAACCTTGTTTGTTTTAAACTAAGGGAGTTCTTAGGTTAACCATCCTATTTTTTTCCCACTTTCCTTTCTCCTCACAGATACCAATAAAACAGTGTTTATAATGAAAGCTCTCTAAAATTTTACCAATTTAGAGTTTCTCCAATTTAAAAGGTCCATCATCTGGCCATTAATGAGAGGTATCTTAATAGTGACTCAAACCAGTAAGATGCAAGAGGCATTCCCCACAAGAGTGTGTGAAGATGCCACCTAAACAAGACCCAGAAAGTGTATTCCCCAAAAACTGTCTAGGAAAGGAAAGGCCTTTGTGGTACCAGCTGCCACAAAAGTTAAGATGGCAAAAAGCCTTAGAGCAAAACATAGGAGGTATACTCTTTGACATACAATGACATACATCACAGCAAGATCCTCTTTGACTCACCTCCTAGAGCAGTGAAAATAAAAACAAAAGTAAACAAATGCGACTTAAAAAGTTTCTGCACAGCAAAGGAGACAGTAAACAAGATTGAAAGACAACCCTCAGAATGGGAGAAAATAGATGCAAACAAAACAACTAACAAAGGGTCAGTTTCCAAAATATACAAGCAGCTCATGCAGCTCAATACCAGAAAAAAAAAAAAGGGCGCAAGACCTAAACAGACATTTCTCCAAAGGACACATAAAGATGGCCAACAAACTCATGAAAAGATGCTCAACATTGCTCATTATTAAGAGAAATGCAAATCAGAGCTACAATGAGGTATCACCCCACACCAGTAAGAATGGCCATCATTAAAAAATCCACAAACAGCAAATGCTGGAGAGGATGTAGAGAAAAGGGAACCCTCTTGTACTGTTGTTGGGAATGAAAATTGACACAGCCACTATGGAGAACAGTACGAAGATTTCTTTAAAAAACTAGAAACAGAACTACCATTTGACCCAACAACTCCACTACTGGCATATACCCTGAGAAAACCATAATTGAGACACCTATACCCCAATATTTCATGGTAGCACTTTTTACAATAGCTAGGACATGGAAGCAACCGAAAGTCCATCAACACATGAATGGATACAGAAACTGTAGTACATATATACAATGGAATATTAGTTAGCTATAAAAAAGAACACACTCAAGTCAGTCCTAATGAGGTGGGTGAACCTAGATCATACTATACAGAGTGAAGTAAGTCAGAAGGAGAAAGACAAATACTGTGTATTAACACATGCATATGGAATCTAGAAAGATGGTACTGAAAACCTATTTACAGGGCAGCAATGGAGCAGCAGACAGAAAGAGCAGACATGTGGACACAGCAGAGGAAGGAGAGGGTGGGATGAATTGAGAGAACAGCATGGAAACATATACAGTACCGTATGGAAAACAGATACCGAGTGGGAACTTCGTGTGTGACACAGGGAGATCAACCCAGCGCTCTGTGACAGCCTAGATGGGTGGGAGAAAGGGAGGGAGGCTCCGGAGGGAGGGGACATATGTATACCTGTGGCTGATTCACATTGATGTATTGCAGAAACCAACACAATATTGTAAAGCAGCTATTCCCCAATTTAAAAATACATATATATGGCAAAGAGCCCGTCAGAGTTGGTAGTCAGACAAAAGACTGTTCAGAATCCCAGTCTATATGATTGATCTGCCAAGTGTACACCATATGTGCACTTCTGGATGGCAGAGACCAAGTTCTCAAAACACAAAAGGCCTAACACAAAAGGCCTGAAAAAGATGAGGTAGAATACATCTCAAAGACACAGAGAAATGCAAGTTCCCCCTACAAGGGCTTTTGTTTAAGGTCAGAATTCAGATGTTTTTTATCAAGTTGGCTTTTTCTAACTTAACTGCATAGTCAATAAAAGAGCCCCGACTGAAGTCGTTTTCAGGGTGGGATTTCCTTTAATTCCCAATTAAGTATGTACTCGCAAGTATGAACTCTGTACATTCACAAATCTGGCTGGAGTGTTAGTCTGAGGTGGGTTTTCCGATGTCCCTCATTTTTGTTGAGATAATCTATTCCCCATTTTAAAGGTGAATTTCTCGGGGATAAGATTTACTTTTAAATTCTTTTTAAGGTATCCAACTTGAGGAAGGCCTCGTATCAGCCTCTTACTGAAACATTCAGCCCAGGCTCCTCCTTATCTTTTCTACTGGGCAAATCAAGAGAAATGCAAGTTCCCCCTACAAGGGCTTTTGTTTAAGGTCAGAATTCAGATGTTTTTTATCAAGTTGGCTTTTTCTAACTTAACTGCATAGTCAATAAAAGAGCCCCGACTTAAGTCATTTTCAGGGTGGGATTTCCTTTAATTCCCAATTAAGTAGGTACTCGCAAGTATGAACTCTGTACATTCACAAATCTGGATGGAGTGTTAGTCTGAGGTGGGTTTTCTGTTGTCCCTCATTTTTGTTTGACAGAATCTATTTCCCATTTTAAAGGTGAATTTCTCGGGGATAAGATTTACTTTTAAATTCTTTTTAAGGTATCCAACTTGAGGAAGGCCTCGTATCAGCCTCTTACTGAAACATTCAGCCCAGGCTCCTCCTTATCTTTTCTACTGGGCAAATCCCAGTGTCTTTCAACCAGGCTCCCTCTGTATCTTTCCGCTGGAGGGTACTTTCTTCCAGTGTCTTTCAACAGAGCTCCTCTAGTATCTTTCAACTAGGGAGATCACTCCCCAATATCTTTCAATTGCGGAGCCAGGTACCTGTTAGACATTGCCAATCAAAGCTCGGGATAATCCATCAAAAATCAGGAGATCCGAGAACAAGGAGAGACTCACCCAAATTCGTCTGAACTCTATGAGGAGGTGGATGGGCACAAGAAGACTCTGCTAGTACCAAGGCTCCATTTCCCCGTAGAGTTCAGGCGAAGGAAAGAAGTCTTCTCTGGGTTTCCTCAGTGGTCATCAAAACTGTGGACTGGAAGAAAAAAAAAGCAAAATCTAAAAGTGGAAAATAGTTTTATTTGGCAGACTGAGAACTCAAACCCAGGACGCAGCCTCACATAGCTGAGGGACTGCTGTGTAGGATATACAACAGTTTTGCAACAAAACCGGGTAGTCAGACCATCAAAAGATTACTGTTAAAGAAAACCAGACAGCTCACGTTAAAGAGTTCAGCTTTTCTCATGCATAGGAAGTCATGAGTCCGGGCTCACTAAAATCATTCCTTTGCTATGAACCTTAGCTATCCAAGGCCAGTATCTTATTCTTTCCTATCCGCAGGCACCTCGGGGTGCACGGTTGGGAGTGTCTGTGGTGGCTGAGGGCTCAGCAGTTGTCAGGCCAATTTCCTTCATTCTGGGGGCTGTCCCTTGGGGTTGCAGTACTGGCGGATGGGTGGCTGCAGGGTCCTTTGTCGACAGGACAGCAAAAGTTTTCATTCACAGCTGCAAAGGACCTCGAGCCTCAGAAACGGCCGAGCCAGGCTCCTCCAGGCGGCTCCTCTGCCCACCGTCCCCGGTCTGGAACTGTGGCGCTGGGTGCTCCGCGGAGCGCGCGGCCTCCCAGGGCTTGGGTCTCCGCGGGAGTCGGGACGCCGTGGGTTCGGCAAGGGTCGCCGCGACCTGGCGCCTCTCCAGGCCGGGGAGCTCCTGGCCCTCCTGGACCAGCTGCAGGAGCTGCGCAAGTGTCACCGAGGCCGGCGTTGACTCCGCGGGCGAGGGAGCCGGGCCCGACTCGCTCAGACAGCCAGGAGGCTCCATGGCGGGCGCGGAGCCTGGGCTCTTCCGGGTTGGATAGGCGCAACCACCGCCGGAGGAAGTGAAGGGGGGCGCAGACCGTACCAAGTGGCCCATAGAGCGGGGAGCAAGCTCCGCGCCGAAACGCTTTACTCACAAATAGAGCCCTTAGCTCTCGACCCAGAGCCGCTGACATAGAATGCTTTATAAGCCGGGAAGGCTTGCACAGAACGGAACTGTATGCGCACACGCCGATACAAGCAAAAAGACCCTAGTTTGCACAGATGCCCGGGCCATGGCAACTCACCTGCTTTCACGCACAGGCTGAGACTACTGCGTAGACACGTGGCGCGTGGTGGGGTGCGGGGATAACTTCCATCCCGGGCCCAGTAGTGCCAGACAGAAAATGACGGAGGCGATGTCTCCGCTGGCCTCAGGAGAACTGGGAACAAGCGACGCCCCTGCAGAGCCTCGCGACTCTCCCCCCACGTCCTTCGGTGGAGGCTATTCCTGGCATTCAGAGTGGAGGAGTGAAGATGAAGGCAGGCTAGGAGGGCTACATTCCCTTCAGCTGCTTGGGAAGTCAATACCAATAAAAGCCAGGTTTCTGTGTTTATCGAAAGCTAGCCTGATCTGGCGTACACCGCCTTAATTAAGCGAGCAAAGCTTAATTACTACTAATTGGACAAACTAGCTTCATCTGTCTCCTGAAGTGATGGAAGCACACTACAGGTTTAGAAACACTACATCTCTGTAGCGTTCCTGCCAAGAACGTTCGCTCTGAATCTAAACTGGAGGAAATTAATAGACACAGTAGGAAACATTCTAAAAAATGACTGACCTGGACGCTTTATAGATGTTGAGGTCATAAAACACAAAGACAGAAAGAAAAAGGCAAGACTGAAGGTCTATGTCAGACTAAAGGGGATGTGAAAAATGCAAAGTGTGCATCCTGGATTGGAGGAAGATAAGAGAGAAATCAGTTACACAGGACTTTTTACCCTTGGGAAAATTTGAATATGCGCTATATGTTAGATGACAATGTTATATCAGTGTTAAATTAAGTGCAGTAATTGTGCTTTCCTTATGTGGGGAATAGGAGATACATGCTGAGGTACTTATGCATGAATGTCATAAGAGAGAAAAGGTTTATGTGGCAAAACTGCTAAGAATTGGTGAATCTAAACAGTTTGAAATTTGTCAAAAAGTTGGAAAGGGTGAGCTATAGAAACCAGTCTGGAGGAAACTGACCACACTAGTGTCGTATAATAAAGAACTTGGCCTTTGTCCCTAGTTCCTCACAAGGAGACTAAATCCTGGAAATTTCCCAAGTATTACAAGTGGTATTCATGGTGGTCCCTGATTGTTTATGCCAAGAAAATGACTCGTTTAGGGGTTTCAGGACTGGAAATGACCAGTCGTATGATTAGAGAGTTGGGGCTTTGAGCCATGGGGGGTCCAGGAAGTGGGGCTGAGTTCAGCCTCCAGCCAATGATTTAATCAGCAGTGCCTGTGGAATGAACCCTCTATAATAACCCTGGACACGAAGCTCAGTGGAGCTTCCTGATTGGTGACCTCATCAGAGTGTCCGGAGGGTGGCATGCCCTGGCTCCAGGAGGTGACACAGAAGCTCTGAATGCAGGCCATCCTCAGACCTTGCCCTAGGTGCCTCTTCCTCTGACTGGCCCTTCTTATTCCCTGTGGCTCAGAAGGTAAAAAATCCACCAAAATGCAGGAGACCTGGGTTTGATCTCTGGTCTGGGAAGATCCCCTGGAGGCAGAAATTGCAACCCACTCCAGTATTCTTGCCTGGAGAATTCCAAGGACAGAGGAGCCTGGCAGGCTACCGGCCAGCTACTGTCCCTGGGGTTGCAGAGTTGGACACAAGAGTGACTAATACACACACTTTCACTGGTTGATATCCTCTCTAACAAAAGGTGGCTTAGCTGGTAAAGAACCCACTTGCGAATGCAGGAAATACAAGAGATGTGGGTTTGATCCCTGGGTCGGGAAGATCCCCTGGAGAAGGAAATGGTAACCCACTCCAGTGTTCTTGCCTGGAGAATCCAGTGGAACAGAGGAGCCTGGCAGGCTACAGTCCATGAGGTAGCAAAGAGTCGGACACGACTGAGAGGTGCACACACACACACACTCACACATACTAACAAAACCATAATCTTATGTATTTATTTATTTTTTAAAACCATAATTTTAAAAGTAGAACTTTCCTGAATTCTGTGAGTTGTCTAGCGAATTATTGAACTCGAGGGGTTGCGGCATCTCACAAATTTGTACCCAGTGAGTCAAAAGGGCCTGTGGCCCAGGACTCTGAATTTGCAGTTGGCATCTGAGCTAAGTGCAATCTTGTTGGGGACGTCGCTCTTGAACTTGTGGGATCTGTGCTAACTACAGGCACTGAGTCCTAGACAACACAGAACTCCAGTTGGGGTTTTTAACCGAACACTGGATGAAGGGAGAACTCACCTTCTCTCTGTGGCCTGTGTCAGTTTCAGTCATCAGGGTGACCTTCTGATGGCCTTGGGGAACACTTGCAGGGGAAAGGAGACCTGGGAGTTACAAGTGTCTGATGAGGAAAGTGAGTGAGCAATGTGGACTCCTTGATAGGACCTTGAAGGAGTCCCTCACCTTCTACAGATAGAGTTCATTGTTGTTGTTTAATCACTAAGTCGTGTCAAACTCTGTGTGACCCCATGGACTGTAGCCTGCCAGCCTCCTCTGTCCATGGAATTCTCTAGCCAAGAATACTGGAGTGGGTTGCCATTTCCTTCTCCAGGTGATCTTCCTGACCCAGGGATTGAACCTGCATCTCCAAGAGAGGGTTTATATGGCTTATTAAATACTCAGTCCTCTAGGGAATTCCCTGGCCGTTCAGTGGTTGTAACTCTGAGCTTTAACTGACAATTGGGAACCTAAGATCCAGCAAGCCATAGCCAAAAAAAAATTCACCCCTCTAGGTCTCTTATGCTAAGATGAGGGCATTGATGGGAAAGGGTGGGACCTTGAGATGGGGACATTTGGGCAGACATGGACAAGACTAAGAACTTGAATTCCCAGATTCTCTTGAAGGGTCTTGTCTGTAGAGACAACCTCCTCTTGTGACCCTGTCTCCTAGGAGGCCAGTCTCAGAACCCCTCCCCCTCCACCCCTTCTGACCCCGGGTCCTTCATGAGTTAAATCTCAACACAGCCTGGGTGGAGGAGCACAAGGCCCACGCTGAGAAAAGGAAGCCCAGACAGTCACAGGCCCTGCCAAACTGCCTTGGCAGGAGCCATGGGAGCATGTGTGGGAGAAGTACTAAGGGAAATAGACCCAGGAGTGTGGAATATAAGATACAGTTTGGCCAAACTCATGGCCATGGATGCTCATACAGGATTTGGGATTTTATGTGTTGGCTCAAGCACCTGGGAGAGGAATTAATAGTCTCCTAAGATGCTTAATTAAAGCCTGGACTTAATGGTAGCCTAGAGTTAATAAACTTGAAATGCCAGAATTTCCCTGGCATACTATAGAGGAAGGAATCCAAAATCTCAGAGAGATGGGAATGCTGGATTGAATTTATTATGTGCAATCTGCTTAACTACTCCTAGCCATGTATTTTAAGGCAGTCTGGAAAATACTCCCTTTTACCAAAGGATTAAGAAATGCATTGGTGGACTTCCCTCGTGGTCTAGTGGCTAAGAATCCCCTGTCAGTGTAGGGGACATGGGTTTGATCCATGGTCTGGGAAGATTCTACACGCTGCAAGGCAGCCTGTGCGGCAAAACTGCTGAGCTGGTGCTCTGGAGTCGTTGAGCTGTGAGCTCACTCTAGAGCCCATGTGCCACAACTACTGAATCCCTCATGCCCTAGAGCCTGTGGTTTGCAACAATGAGAAGCCCTCACACCACAACTAGGGAGTAGCCCCTGCTCGCCACAACTAGAGAAAGCCCACACTCAGCAACAAAGACCCAGCATAGCCAAAAATGAGTAAATAAATAAAATCTGAAAATAAAAAAAAAGACTTGGTGAGGGCCACCAGCTCCTAGACTAGCTCTGATGGCCATCCTCTGTAGGCTGGAGATGCTAATGAGGGATACCAGATAGTGAAACTTAATTCCCTGATCTTTGATGAGAATAATGGTATCCTAGTGGGGTAAACAGTAGGTTTAACAACCAAAGAATGACCCAGAATAAAGCATGGGAAAGAATGGTCAGCAAGTGGGCAAAAATGACAGGCTATGGACCACGGTCAGCCTTTTCCCCAGGCACTCCAGGGCTTGTTCAGTGGACCCATGGTAGCAGGCGTGGCAGCTATGCTTTGGCTTAATAACATGGTCTTCCCTGAGGACTTCCCGTGGCCCCTGAGGCTAGTCTGGCTGTGGCCAGTGCTGAGTGACCATCCTACCTACAGCCTGATAGAGCACCATTCTCATCTTGACTTGATTGGGCTCCCCTAGAATGGATGGGCTGATGCTTTATCTTCAAGAGGACACATGTTCCAGATATGAATTCATTGCTGCCTCCAGTGCTTCTGTCATCACTGCTATTTATGGACTTACAGAATACCTTATCCATCACCATAGCATGCCACATAACATTGCCTCCACATGGGCACATGTATTATTGCCAAGACAGCATACAGATGAGCTCACACCCAAGGCATTCACCAATCTTACCAGGTGCCCCATGACCCAGGAGCAGCTGGCTTGATAGAATGGAGGACGGGCCAGCTCTAGGCTCAGTTAGAGCAGAGAAACTACAGCCTACAAGGTGGACATTCTATCCTGTAGAATACAGAGTATTCTTTAGGCCAAAACCAGAATTGTGTGTGTCTTTATGTGTGTGTATGTGTGTGTGTGTGTATACATATATACACACAATACACTGGGACTTCCCTGGTGGCTCAGTGAGTAAAGAATCTGCCTGCAATGCAGGAGATGCAGCAGACGTGAGTTCGATTCCTGGGTTGGGAAGATCCCCTAGAGAAAGGAATGACAACCCACTCCAGTATTCTTGCCTGGAGAATCCCATGGACAGTGGAGTTTGCGGGCTACAGTCCATAGGGTCGCAAAGAGTCGGACACAACTAAAGCGACTGAGCACACACACATATATATAACCAAGAGGNAAAAAAAAAAAAAAAAAAGAGTCAGTTCCCTAAAAAAGAATTCTCTGCTCAGTTGTCCTGGTTAACAGAAAACTTCAGCAACCCACTATGTCAAGATTCTCAAGGACTCAGACCCCATAGGAATAAAGGTTTGAGTCACCACCAGGTAAAGAACCCAAGGTGCTGGCAAAGGATAAAAAGAATACATCATTGGAGGGAAAAGGAGGCAGCTGTGAATGTGAACTTAGTTCTCATAACCCCCCTTGTGCCCTGCTACCTTATGTGAAAAACACTGATGGGAGCTAATATTTTAGGTTTCAGTTGACATACAACATCACTTCCCAATGATACAATAGTTGGTGGGTCCCTGAGTGTTCTCGGTGCTGGGGACATGGATTTTTCATCTGCACAAAGATTAAGAGGAGCTTCTCTATGACCTTCCAGATTCTCCCTCCCTCTTCCCATCCCACCAGCCCTGTGCCCTGGAAAGTCTCAGAGGACTCCCACGCCCCTACTTGGATTCAGTCAGTGGGAGACCAGCCAGAGGTCTAAGGATGGGAGGATGGTAAAGTCAGGTCCGTTATTCTC